AGTTACGGCTCGGACAGCGTTTGCCTAGCGTTGGAGTGCTAGCGTACTAGCGTTGACTCGGGTAGCATTCCGCCGTCGCACCGCGTAGAAAGGAAATTCCAGCAAGGAAGGAATTCGCTTGAATCAATTTCACTATATTCAGGTACAAACAGAGAAGGAATATATAGTTCTAGCTAGCAAGGACCTTGGGAATAAACCTGGGAACAACTAGGGATGATCCCAAATAATTCCAAGCAACAGAACCAACCTGGCTGGACAAAACAGCAGGTGGTAGGTTGGTAAACAACCTCTGGTTCTGTTTTTCCAACCTGGGAAAACAACAACCAGGTTCAGGTCCTAAAAAGCAGAACCCGATTTGCCTTTGCCCAACCAGCTAAATGCTGGTTCCACTGGTTTCCCCTGGCCCTGTAGCAAGCAGATACAGACAAACAACATCCAACCTTCACCTAAATTGTACCCCTATAGTGCCTGCCCTGCTACACTATAGTCAACCAAACAAAACAGTACAATTTCGAGTTGGATAGAACTGAATCTGCACAATCAATTCAACCGAACCGCAAAGCTTCCATCTTGGGTTCCTTTGCGAGCTCGTCCTTTCTGCTTGTACTGTTCATAGCGCGTACAATGTTGTGCCGAAGTGCATAATGCGCGAGTACCTGCAAATGCTTCAAGCGAAAATTGCGAAAGCAAACAAACACACGAACATTCCATTCACACCCGAATGCATTCGCACACGCATACTCATACAAACAGACGGCAGGATGTCATGCAATATGAATTTGCACCTAACATATTGGACCTCGTCAAAAGTCCAAGCTGTACACTTCGAAGCGGACAGGAATGCAAGGTGTACGCTGTTAGGCCCCTTAGCCTAAATCTGCTAAGGAATAGCTGGGCCGACTAAGTCTAGGATGAAAACGCGGCGGAAGACTTTGGCGAAAGAACTATTGGCGAAATAGGCGAAAAAGTTACAAAGTAAATGAAGAGTTGAATGAGAATTTGTTGATATTGGCAAGTACAAGCAAGGTTGATATACTATGCAAGAGCGAATGCTGGAAAATAGTTTATGGGACTAGAAAATACAAGGCAAGAAAAGTAGAGTGCCACGTGGCACAACAAAATCTAGGAAAACTTGGATGAGTTGTATGAAGATTAGGTTGGGATGAGGTTGGGGGCACTGTTTAGGGTAAACCACCGTTGAACGGTAAACTACCCCATAACACTAACCCCCTCCCAAAGAGGCGACGTCCGCGGCGCCTGCAGACTGAAGGTACGCTTGGAGGCAAGCGTTGTCGGGAGACAGCGAGGACGAAGGAACCCAGCTGTCGTCGGCTGCATCGTAACCCTGCCAACGAACCAAGAAGTCGATGAAAGAGACACCCCCCTGGAGACGGCGACGGTGCCCGAGGATGTGCTGGATCTGGTAGTCGGGCTCGTTGGAGTCAACAGCTATCGGCAGTAGAGTGCGATCACGACCCGCGAAGGTGGTGTTGGGATTGGTATATGGATGAAGGAGAGACACGTGGAATGACAGGTGCTTGTGGAAATGAGCGGGAAGACGGAGGTGGTATGCAACTGGACCTAGTGCGCGCTCAATGACGAATGGACCAATGAAGCGTGGACGAAGCTTGCTGTCCTGCAGCAATTGAAGGTTGTGGCTATCCAAAAAGACACGGTCGCCGACTGCAAACGACACCTCACGACGACTGCGGTTGGTGGTGCGTGCCATGCGTGAATTTGCAAGCTCAAGGTGCTTCCTTACATGATCATGAATGAAGGTGAGATGCTGATGGAAATTATCCGTATTAGGGATAGTGGGTGTGAGATCAACACGAGTGGGGACATTGGTGTGCTGACTGTACAGTCCAAAGAACGGTGACATGCCATTGGATGAGTGATGTGTGTTGTTGTAGGCAAACTCTGCCATGCTCAGCTTCTTGTCCCATGCGGCTGCATCGTGCATCGTGATGCTGCGAAGAATCTGTCCCTTCGTCTTGTTCACGCGCTCAGTTAGTCTATCTGTCTCTGGATGATACGTAGATGACATAGCTAAGCGAGTCCCAAACAGTGCGAAAAGCTGATTCCAGAATTTTGAAGTAAAACAAGGGACGCAGTGTGAGATGATGGAATCTGGAACCCCGTGCGATCGGACTATGTTATCTATGAACAATGTCGCAGCTTCCTTTGTTGTGATCTTGCTGTGCGTGGGGATAAAGTGCGCTGCTCGAGAAACTTATCCACTACCACAAATATGGCGTCGTGACCCCTAACTGTTCGCGGTAAAGCCATGATGACGTCCATCGTAATGTTGGTACAACCTACGGTTTGCACTCAAGTTGTTGTCCATGTGCGTACATGCGTGTGTGGCCAAGAACAACTCCTTGATTCATGTGGGAGCAGACAAATGGGTGCCCTATGTGGAGTGGATTGGAAGGAAGCCAAGGTGGATATGCTTTTGGTGTTCGGGTGCATGCACATGGCGCTCGTGCCTAAGCATCTTCGGCACAACAAGCTTGGTGCCAAGGCGATATGGGCTGTGCATTTGGGCATGGCTCAAAACACTCACCCTCGACAGACGGAGAACAGACAGACACAGACTCAGCAACAAGACTAGCAGCGTAGTCTAGACGACAGCGAGCAGCAAAGACGACAAGCGCAGCAACAAGAGCAGACGCAGCAGTAGACTCAAAGGAAGGGTCAGTGACAGCAGTGGCAAGGAGACGCGTGATAGTAGGACTAGCAGCACGAAGGAAGTCACACTCCGGATCAGCAAGGGCAGGACGCAGGAGGAGACGGCAGAGAGACACGCTGCGGAGCTGTGGAAGGACGCAGAGCCATCTGGTGCGTGCCAGGGATAGGAGGAGGACGCGGACGCGAACCACGACGACCACTGCGAACAGCACAAACAGGCGACGCAGGACGAGACGCAGGCTCACGACGCTCAGCAAGACCTCCGGTTGGACCAGTATAAGGAGACGGAGCAGGCAAAGGGGAGGCGGGTTGTAGCTGTGACTGCGACTGGTCAAGCGGTGGACACTCTAAGGAAGGAGCAGGACCAGCAGAAGGCGGGAGACCAAGAACCTGCTCAAGAAGCGGAACAAAGTACGGTCGCGCCCGCTCAACGCCCCCAGCACCAGCAGGGATAGCACCAGCACCCTCAGCGGCAGCTCCAACTCCAGCAGCACCACCAGCTCCAGCAGCACCTCCAGCAGCTCTAGCAGCACTAGCAGCTCCAGCAGCACCTCTAGCAGCTCCTGCAGCACCTCCAAGAGCACCTGCTCCAGCAGCACTACCAGAGTCAGCACCTCCAGTAGCTCCAGCTCCAGCTCTAGCGGCACCACCAAGCCCAGCAGCTCCAGTACCATCAGTACGAGCACATCCGAGACGAGTGGCTCCAGAATCCTTAGCATCTCCAGCAGGAGCAGGACCTCCAGCGCCCGGAGCACCACCAGCTCCAGCAGCACGGCTCCAGCACCGAGCAAACCACTCACGAAGCTGCTGAGGAGAGAGTGGCTCCCGCCGGGACGAAGCACCCGAAGGACCTCCGGGCTCAGCACCTCCAGACTCCACACTCGCAGGCCCATCACCCTCAGGCTCCGCACCCCCAGACTCAGCAACCCCAGGCTCAGCACCCCAAGGCCCAGCACCCCCAGACTCAGCACCCCGAGGCTCGGCATGCTCAGGCTCAGCACCCCTAGACCCGGCACCCGCAAGCTCAGCACCCCTAGCAGCACCAGAGTCAACAGCTACCTTGACAGGCTCGACTGCGTCTACCTGGGACACACCTGAGGAGGCAGGACCCTGAGGGGGCAGGACCCTGAGGGGGGAGGGGGTCTACCGGGGGAGGACCTGGCGCGAGGAAGAGCGGCGGGGGGCAGTGCGGTTGGGGTAGAGATTGTAGTAAGGAACCGATTCGTCAAACGTGACGTCCTGAGAGGACAGAACACGTCGCGAGGTGGGGTGGTAAAACTGCCAACCAGGCGTGTTAGGGGGGAAGCCAAGGAAGACGCAGGGAACAGCACGGGAGGTCTGCTTATCCGCAGACAAGTCGCAGACGAAAGCTCGAGATCCCAAGCCACAGAACGCAGACGCATTGTCAACCTTCCCCATCCACCTCAGAGTAGGTGTGGTCTCCGGCATGGAGACCCGAGGCTGGAGGTTGATCTAATGCGCCGCGTACTGAACCGCGAACGGCCACAGAAAATGGGGAGCCGCTGCATGGATCATGGACGTACGAGCGACGTCCATGACCATGCCAATGCGGCGCTCAGCAATCCCATTTTGTTGTGGAGAGGCCGGAAGCGTGCACGTCTGGCGGATGCCCTCCGCACGACAGAAGGCTCGCAGAAGGTCGGAGGAAAACTCTCCACCTCTGTGGGAGTGCAGATGCAGAACAGGAAGGTCGGAGCCAAAACTCTCGCTGAGCTGACGATGGGCAGCGCTGATCCAGTCGATCGGCACCTCAGTGACCTCACCCTTGCGGCGCAAGGGGAAGACTGTGGTGTAACGCGAATAGTCGTCAACGATCAGCAGAAAGTAGCGCTCGTGACCCTGTCCACGGACGCGGGCTGGGCCCCACACGTCCATGTGAAGAGTCTGCAGGGGAGCCTCCATCGGAGGGAACTCGGAGGAGTGAGGAGCGGCGCGCTGCCACCCCTCGACGCAAGGAACGCTGGTAGGGGCAGGCCCTGGGGGAAGGGGAGGGAGAGACTTGGGAAGACCAGTGACAAAGACACGGGAGGCCATGCCTCGGAGACGAGGCAGAGTGGGATGACCAAGGCGGTGGTGCCAGAGAAGAGTCTGGTGAGACAGGAGGCGACACGAGCAGGGGGCAGATACAGGACCAGACCGGGACGCTGCAGCAAACACCTTACCCGACGCTGTTACCTGACCAGACTCAGCAACCGGAGGAGACACGGTAGTCAGGGTGTACAGGCTCGACCCAGGCTGACGGGTTTATGTGGCCAGGTGCCGGCCCGTGCGAGTACACGAACAGTGGGTCACCCGCTGTCCTCCAGGAGGAGGAGGCAAGACAGAGAGCCAGATGGGACCGCTGGACACGGCAGGACCGTGGAAAAGTGTGGAAGGACCCCCAGAGGGGTCAGCCAGAGAGACTGCCATTGGCCGACTGAGCAGCGAGAGTGTTATGCACCCGAGAAAGAAGGAGCGGGAATCACCTGAGTCAAGGGTGAACATGTGCAAGACCTAAGCCGACGCGGTACCTGAGAAAGCAGACCCATTAGTACCTGGAGCAACAGACTCACTAGCACCTAGAGCAGCAGCCTCAATGCCCAGGTCGGGCGGAACACGTAGGTAACAGTCACCCTCAGCACTAATAGATACAGCATACATAGCAGCAAGGATAGCATCATAGTCAAGATCAAAGATAGCAACACCAGACTTAAGCAGATCACCCCAGCGAGGGAGCTCCGTGGCGTCAGGAAACTGTGCACGCCAGGCATTAGTCAGGCGGCCAAAACAACGTTGCATGGCGTGCGGCCCTCCGCACGTCTCCCCACTGCGCTCGCCAGTGCGGAGAACGTAAGCACAAGGACCAGCACCTCCGGAACTCCCACGCCCAGCGTACCACTCACGAAGCTGCTTGGGGGACAGGGTCTCATGAGAACGCTGCTGCTCCTGGCGCTGGCCACCACCAAGGCCTCCCCACTGCACAGCGCCATCCCGACCAGCACCACCGCCGCCGCCACCCCCACCACAGCTTCCGCCACCGCCTCCACCTCCACCGCCGCCACCAAAGCCCCCACTCCCGCCACCACCCCCACCCCCACCCCCACCCCCTCCGCCGCCTCCACCGCCACCATCGCCGCCCCCACCGTCTCCTCCAACACCCTTGGCCCCCGTGCTCCTGTCACTAAGGCGCCTCCCACTAGGAGCAGACGCAGCGCGGACCGACTTGGTGCCAACGAGGTCGACACCAGCAGCAGAGGCAACAGAGGGCAAAAGGGGAACGGGGGAGCACCCCTCAAAGAAAGGGGTGCGAGGGTCACCACGAGAGGCTCCTACAACGACTATACTCTTCTTAGTGGCAAGGAGGTGCTCCTTGAGGAGGTCAACGGTGAGCGTGGTGGGGCAAAGCGAGAGGAAGTGGTCCCTGACCGAGCGAAGGGAGTCAGGGAGCCGGGTGACGAGGTAGTAGAGGGTGATGTACATAAGGGGGGGGTTGGCCGCGCAAAACTCGGCAGGAAGTGCAGCGCGGTAGCAGGTGTCACTAGTGCGGAGGTGCGTAATGAGGTCAGCGACTGTGGCAAAAGCAGCTAGGTCAGGGAACAGGTACGGCAGCATGAGGCGGCTAAGGGCAGCAGTGGCAGGGGAGGAGTAGCGCGCAACAACAGCATCGTACAGGGTCCTAGCAGTCTTGTACTGGCTAAAGTGTGCGCGCTCAGCAGACGGCAGTTGACTACGAACAGCAAGACGGGCAGCAGCATCGCGCGTGGTCCACTGCGAGCGAGCAGCACTGTAAGCATCGTCAGCAGGCGCGACAGAGACGTCGGATGTGTGATCGAACAGTGAGACTCCGTCCCTAGAATCGCAATGCAGAAACAGCTGCAGATCATCGACCCATACTTCGAAGTCAACTGCTCGACCCTCAGCATTGAAGGTAAGAACATTAGGGCTAGCCATGACAGTAGAAGCAGCAGCAGCAGCAGCCTAGCAGCAGCAGCAGCAGGTGCAGCGCGACTCGGCAGGGCGGTGTGACTCGGCAGGGCGGCGCGGCTCGAGAGGGCGACGCGGGTGCGGCGGTGCGCATACCAGTGGCGGGAGGGGAGGGAAGAGGCCGCGACTGGTGGGAAAGGGCCGTGGCGCGCCAGGTAGGGGCCGCGACAAGGCGGCAGGGCAGGGCCGCGAATCGGCGGCAGGTCGGGGCCGCAACAGGGCGGCAGGGCAGGGTCGCGACAGCGGGGCTGCAGCGGTGATGACAGCGACGGTCGCACCGGCGGCTGCAGGCTCGACGATGGCAGCAGAGCCGCTACGGTGGCAGCAGGGGCGACGGCTGCTACAGGCCCAAGGCCTCGTCGGCTGCTGCAGGGTAAGGGGCCGCGACGACGAGGCGGGCGGACCGTGCAAGGCCGCAACGACGGGCGGGTGTCAGAATGATAGAGAAGTGATTGCATTAGGAAAGGGTTGGGTACAAGTAGGAAACCCTAAACTTACTGTACCCCATAGTAACTACCCCACTACAGCCTACACAAACTGTAGCAGATATTGACCCACCCCCATAGGCAAAGTGGGGGAGAGCAAGGGGTCACAAGACGATTCAAGAAAGGCAAAGCAAGCTCGGGGTGGATCACAACGTCAACACACTGACTGAGCACAAGCAAAGGGCTACAAGGCCAGTTCACATGCAGAGGCATGTATGGAACACAAACATCACAGTGATCTCTACCTAGCAAAGCAAGCATGCAGGTATATATATATATATATTTATTGATCATAGTACAAGCAAAGCCTACAGCAAGCGAGGAAAAGTGGGCACAAGCCCTAGCATAGTGCAGAAACGCTGATGATCACTTGACTGAAGTGCCTTGGTGAATATATCAGCAGTGTTGACCTGAGTGGCCACGTAACGCAGACGAAGTTGACCACGCTGCTGCAACTCTCGAGCCAGGAAGTAACGCAGAGCGATGTGCTTCGTTCTGTGCTCCAGTCTGTGCTCCTCACACAAGGCAATGGCTGCCTTTTTGTCGACGTACAGCACTGGAGGAGAACGAGGCCGCTCTCCCAAGTCGGTCAGCAGGTAGGTGAGCCAGCGTAACTCCTGTGCAGCCATGGTTGTGGCATTGATCTCGAACTCACAGCTGGAACTGAGAACTGAAGACGAACGTGTAAAACGCTAAGAAACTGAACCAGAGCCAAGGCTGAGGGTGTAACCCTGTGACGACCGTTGAGTAGCCTGGTTGTCAAACCAAGAAGCGTCTGAGTGCCCAGTGAGAACAACTGATCTCCTCCCTCCAAGCACGAGCCCCATGCCTGATGTACTACACAAGTAGCGTAGTACCCTCTTAGCAGCATCCATGTGCACCTTTCGGTGCCGACCAAGAGCCACGTAGCGAGCCAGAAGGCCAAGAGGGTACGCAAGGTCAGGTCGAGTGCAAGTCATTGGGTACATGAGGCAGCCAACTAGCTGTGGGTAAGGACCACTCGGCTCTACGGACTCGTCCGAAGGTGGACCTGAGAGCGAGTGACCTGTAGCCAGAGGAGTGGCCTGAGGCGAGGAGTACGTGAAGTTGAAGCGCTGAAGGACCTGCTGCACCATGTGTGACTGAGTCAGTGTGATGGTTCGGCGTGCTCTATCCTGGGTGATCTGCAAGCCAAGGTAGTTGCGCAGCTCACCCAGGTCTGTGCACGTGTGTCTCTTCTGCAACTCCGACTTCACGTGGGCAAGATCCTCATTGTAAGCAGTGGGAAAGACCAAGTCGTCGACGTACACAAGGATGTAGAACGGCGGCAGCGAAGTGTCCGTGCGCAGAAACAGCGACGGGTCAGCGGTAGAAGGCGCGAACCCAAGAGCTGCAAGTGTAGTCCTCAGTGTGTCGTGCCACTCACGTGGCGCCTGGCGGAGACCGTAGACCGGCCGCCGGAGCCTCCACTGGGTACCAGGAGGAAACGACCTAGTGAAGCCAGGAGGGCGGCGCAGCCAGATCTCCTCGTGCAGGCTGCGTTGCAAGAAAGCTGTGCTGAAGTCAAGAGAGTGAAGCTCGTAGTCACGCTGAGCGGCAACGTGCAGTAGCACCCAAAGAGTGGTCATCTTTAGGGTGGGGGAGAAGGTCTGGAAGAAGTCTACTCCCTCTCGCTGACTGAAGCCTCGAGCAACGTAACGAGCCTTGAAGACAGGCGGAGAACCTGGCGGCCGTGAAGCGCCCCCAGAACCAGCAGAGACAGCACCAGAACCCCCAGCAGTAGCTCCAATTCCTTTAGCACCACCAGCAGCTCCAGTAGTGCCAACTCCAGTACACCCAGTAGCACCACCTCCAGCCTCACCGTCGGCTCCAGCACCTGCAGGAGGACGAGCGTCAGCACCTCCAGTTCCAGCCCCTGCAGCACCAACCACAGGGTCGGCAGCTACACCAACTCCAGTAGGCCCAGCGTCCTCAGCTCCACCGGCAACTCCAACAGCTCCAGCACCTCCAGCTCCAACTCTAGCACCAGCAGCACCTCCAGCAGCTCCAGCACCAGCAGTACCTCCAGCAGCACCATCACCTTGTGCACCTGAGCCTTGCACAGCGCCACCTCGTGCACGTTCACCACTTGGCGGCTTCATGCCTGGGGGCGCCCATCCCTCAGGCCGGCTGAAACACTTGAACCATGGGTGTCCAGCCTTCTTGCAATACCAGCACGCTCCCTCCATTCGGGTGCTCCCCCTGCCACCAGATCTCCCATGCCCCTCATTGTAGTCACCTCGGCCTAGCCCTCTGCCAAAGCCTCTCCCACCCCCTCTTCCTCTGCTGCCTCCTGCAGCTCCATACCCCTCAGCAGTTTTGTTGGCAGCACCACCTCCCGTGTGGCGCCTGCGGAAGTCCTCCTGCAGGATCTGCTGCCGTAGCCATTCAGGCGTCCACTTGTCCTGCTGAACGTTGAGGGTGGGGATAAGGTTGTCCCACGAGTTGTCGAGCACCGAGATGATCTTGGTGCACTGCTGCATCTCAGACACCTTGCTGCCCGCTGCTGCCATCCTCGCATAGGTGTCCTTGACCTTGTCAAGCACCGGCTTCACATCATCTCCCGGCCGCATGGAGAGGGCAGCCAACTCCTCCAATACGATCACCATCAGCAGCGTGTTGGGCTGAACCACGTCGCGTAGCAGCTTCCACGCCTTTAGTCCCGAGTCATCGAGCTCCACAAAATCCTTGATGTGCTGGAACATGTCGTTGTTGACCGACAATAGAATCAAGTCGTACAGCACCGCGCTTTTCTCAATCCATCGATCGCGGACATCTCCTTCCTCCGGCATCTTCTCTTCTCCCATCGCGAGTTTCAGCAGCTCATAGCGCTTGAAGGCGCTCCGCATCCGCCCGCTCCATTCCTCGTAGTTGGAGCCATCCAACGCCTCAATCTTTGATGGTGGCGGCTCACTCCTCTTCTCAGCTGCTTCTCCACTCGCTTGACTCATCTCTTCTGCTCCCAATCACAGGTTCCAGCTCCCCCTTTGCTGTCCACACCGAAGTCCCACACAAGTTCCACAAGTGTCGACGCCAACGAAATTTCGGCAGAGTTTCCCCTTAGCGGAAGTCACATCCAACCTCCGGAACTCCACTTAGGCACGCCCACACGCCATGGTGGGTCTAGGAGGGTCTTCACACTTCAGTAGACTCTCCAAAAAGTCCTTAATCAGCTCTGATACCACTTGTTAGAGACTAAGGACGGAGTCTATGAAGATTAGGAGCCGGAATATCTCAAAAATCGTTGGGCCTAGTTTCTGGACAGAAAAGTCGAGTTCACAAGAAACACCTTCGACAAATAGTTCACGGTTAAATCTTCACCAAACTCATGTTGTAGCCCTAGTCTGTGGCTACAATTCCCAATTTGAATCGTACGATATGGTGAAGTATTTCTTGAGGTATCAGCTTCGGCGCACTAGGGGGTATGCTGCCATAGAATCTTAACTCAATCACTAAGGGTGCATTCCTGGTTGGTGGCAGGGCAACTGTTCACATCGAGTTGGTGGCAAGTGTACCCAAAAATTCAGTGGGCCGGAAAATGCGCTTGCCACCAACAGTTGCCCTGCCACCAACTCAGGAATGCACCCTAAGTTCACACAATTTTCACACAAGGAAGTAAGAGTAGCAATTAACCAGGTGGGAGGGAAGAGGAGGACGAGAGGGAAGGTCCCCAAAGAGTCCCCAACCAAGGAAACCCCATAAGCACACCAAATCCCTTCCCTATAGGAACCCCACTTTTACTTTTGTCACTTACCAACCCATGCCATCCACCTTGCCCAACTTGGCCACACTTGCCAACCTGGTTTGGCACCTCCCAACCACTTGGCAGCATCTACAGTGATGTTGACGAATTTCCCAACCCCCAAAAGTCTATACCCCTTATGGAGTCAACCCCACAACTTCCCATAGTCACCACAACCAAATATCAAAAACAAACGAACTTCCAACGTTCGTAACTTTCTTGTTCGTGCTCCGATTGAAGCGATACTTGGTTCGTCGGAAAGCTCTTGAGCATAGGAGTCACTTCCGATATCTGCTCAAGCAAAATAACATTCACACACACTCAGAAAAACCAAACCACATCAAACACAAATTCTTGCACACGCTCACACCACGCATGCAACG